CAGGAAAAACGATGTGACAGATTGATAGTTTTGTTATCAGTCTCGATGGATACCCGCGCTCTTCACTTTCTCATTTGTGCAAATCCCTACGCCTGACCACCTCGTCTCATAGTCTAATGCTGTGTTATTTGAAAAACTATATGGCTACATTGGCAGAGCATATCAATCATTCACGCGGCTCATGGGCGTGTTGAGAAAGAAAACCATTTAGTTAGCCGAGTTACTTATCTGTGGATAAGTGTTGGGGGTAAGCTCTTTTGCCCCAGTGGCTTAACAGATAGCACTAATGGTTAGTTAAACTCCCATGCACCAGGTGTAAGCTCTGACATTTCTCCATAGTAACAACAACCAGTGGTGGGAAGGAAATACAAGAAGGGAATACTTAACATCCTCGGCGGCATCTAGCGATGTATTTTCTTAACTTTGACAGGGATATTCGGCTTTCTGGCTTCAGCGGAATAGCTTCTTGTTTCTGAAATTTGATCCCAAAATTCATCAAAATTATCAAAATTATCTTATTAGATAGCTCTGATGATGGCATCTCCCTTCAATACTAACTAGTTAATAGTGCTTTATATCCTAATTTGCGGTCCCTTGGACAAATTATACTGAATGCCAATGGCGTGAGAAACCCTGATGTAATCCCTAGCCTGCTACGTAAAGCCTTTCCATCATCGATTACCTCGCCTTGCTGGAATGATACCGCAACAAGGATGAAAATGAGCACCCAAGGTAACTTCTGACAGAGAATGGTGGATATCATTGCATTATTCGACGCTCTCCAAAAGAACGAACCAGAGACGTAAAATAGTTTATACATTCTTATAAAATGATATAGAATAATTACAATTGTGTATTTTCGTTACTTGTATTAGAGGGTAAAAGAGATGTTCGAAATGGAGTCAAAGACCGTCATAAGCTTGATGGGAGGAACAAGCAAAGAAGTACCCGGCTAGCGACTTGATGTCCTAAGGTTGGTAACAAGGAGTGGAAGGAAAGGGTCACTGCAAAACCCAGAGGGATGAAATTAGAAACAAGAGAAAACAAGAACACCGAATGAATATACCATTGGATGGTCTTCCCCAATATGCCCGTTTTAATGTAAGAAAAACGAAAAGAAACAAAAAATGCGTATCGCGTACGCTACACCCCTATCTCATCACCGATGACCAAAAAACACCTTCAGTTTCAGGGATCAAGACGCGAGCTCATAGATCCCTCGAGAAGGAAGCACAGCGCCAGGAGGAAGACATGTTTCTTCTAATTCCGCTAATGAGCCACGGCTGTCTGTGGGAGAGTCGTACTCGGGAGGGTCCCCCCGAGAGGAAACCGGAGATGAAGCTAAGGAGCGGTTGCTTTCAGGCTCTTCGATCTCTATAACACCGAACTGAAGCAATTCTTCTTCGCCAATCGGTTTTCTAATATCCTCCACCATCAACGTATAATGCGTCTCCAACCGTTTCGCCTCCAGTTTCTCTCGCTTTTTCCTCGCTGCTATTGATTCCTTCGGCTCGACTTTGAGCCCTAATTTCGAGTCAAATTGAGGGCTCAGGGGGCTGCGGTCAGCATGAGGGTTATGCCTCGAAGAGAGCGAAGATGTACTGTCGTTAACGTCGATGTCGTCGTATTCTTCGATATTCGTTTTCTTTCGTTCGCTCTTTTCCATCTTGCTATCTAGCTTTTCCTGTTGACGCCTGGGTAAACGGAGCCACACTCTGAAGCCCTTGCTTCGAAACACATTCTCGTTCCAGTTACTCAGCGTAACTTCAAGCTCGCCCTTTCCCTTTTGACTCCGTCTCACTTTCTTCGCCACGCGACTGTTCTTGATGCCCTTTCCAGCGTAGTATGCGGGGATTGGTCCAAATACAGCCAATGCACCCGTGGCAACCAACCCAACTCCAACTCCAACTGACCAGACGGCACATTTCTCTAGCGCCGTAAGCCTGACAGCATAAGCCAGCTCGTCACTAAACCGTGTCCATTCGTCTGGGCTGACATGTAGCTGAAAGAGTCGTTGGTTGTATGGAAACCCTGAGGAGATTTCCGGCCCATTTGTTGGGAGCTCAAGAGTAGGGAATAGCTCTTCTAGTGGGGGAGCGTGTGGCAGGATGCTGCTGGGTTCGCTGGACATTTGAGTCAGTGTGGAGGTAAAGCACCCGAAACAGCGAGCATCACTATAGTACACTTACCTTGAATATTGCTGCTGGTAGAGTGGAGGGTCCATTTCACTATTTCCGGAGGGAACCATAGGGGAAATAGGAGAAATAGCAGAAATTGAAGCAGTGGTAGTGAGCGTCGGAGACGAGACAGGTTTCCGCGCGATGTGGTGCATTTTTCCGAGAAATGTCAATCGAGTCTAGAGTAAAGGATGGGGTTGATGGTTGGATAATCCAGTAGACGCAAACTTCAGTCTTTTCCCAGGCTTGTCACAGGTTATAGACTCGTCTTTGAAAATTGCAACAAGGTCGTTTCAATCGCACATCATTTACGTCCCTAAGATTGTTGCCAATCGCGAATTGGAGAGAGCTGTGAGATATTCCGCTGGTTTGCTTTCCGAGGTGCGAAAGAGACACAGGCGAGCAATTATATGAACGAGGTAGTAATTATTTATTATAGTTGGCCTCCAGTAGCATGCTGTGCAAACGCTTTACTCAGTCTTTCCAAATAAATCATGAGAATTTTCCACGCCCTGCGCGAGTCGGCGGAGCCATCCATTAAATATTGAAATATTTACAATGCAGATGAGACGCAACGGTCTGAGAAGTTGGCACAGCCCCAAAGCAACCCTGTCGCAACTAGAAACACACCGAGACGGATGGACATATTCTTCAAACCCTTCGAGCTCGTGGCGCGGTTGTTGCCAGGAAGCGATTCCATTTTCTTTCACCCAGTTGCTTGAGGCGGAAGCCTAAGAAGGCCTCGTCATCTTACATGTACGAGCGCGTTGGTAGTTTCCACCACATGCGCTAACTTATCAGTTGGCGTTGAAATTCTTGTCCAAGTCCCTCGGAACTCAGAGCGAACGAGAACCAAATACGGAGTACGATCTGGCACAAAGCCAAAAAGTGAATCAGGATTTGCGAAGGACCGAGCGTCCGAAAGAGCATCCAAAACTCCGCGAAGAGGAGATGGAGCCTGGCTCAGTGAGATGGGTTTCGTGATTGCGAACTCCAACGCTCATTGGTGCGTTGTACGAGCCAGTTCGTCGGCTGGTGTGAGCTGGGTTTATTTTGCAGGAGACTTCATCAGCACAATGCACGAAATGGGGAACTAAACTTTAGGGCCGTCAGCCGTTGATGCTTTCTCTTGTTTGCTGGCTTTATTCATGCACCGATACTAAAGATATGAAAAAAAAAAGGAGCGAATATCAATTCTGCACTCATAAATATTCACTAACTGCTGCAAGTGATGTTC